TCTTAAGACCTCAGAATTCTCCAAAATAGAGAAAAGAAAAAAATGAGCCTGTGAGAGACTTACTCTCTCCTAACTTGGCCTGAAATGGTGGCAGAGGGAAGCTAAAGGAACACAGGTCCAAAGCCCCCTGGCCTGGGAGCATGGCTGGGGACGAGGGGAGTCCTGCAGCCTCGGGGAGCTGCTGGGAAAATCTCTGCTCTGAGGTATCTTCTTCTGGTCAACTATCATTGAGTGGGAAGTTTGGGCATGACCAGTCTTGCAAGAGGAGAGATGCACATGTCAAAAAGCCATTGGATAGAGGGAGATTCAGTGCTGATGGGCTGAGGGGGAGCCACGTGGTAAGCTCAAAGTAAATTAGTGAACATGGGTCAGAAGGGCATTGAAGTTGGGCTTTCAAAGGCGTATAAAAGTTACCCAACCAGATAAGGACGAACTAGGGATGCAGGATGCAGCAGGGATCACAGACTTGATTTCCATCAGAGGCCAACCAGACAAACGAGGGAAGGGGTGTGAGGTGTAGTAAGTGGAGGGGAGCAGAGCAAGCCAGAGGGTGCAAGCCACACCTAAAGTCATTCAAATCCAATGTTTTGAAAATCCAAGGTAGCTGGGGAGCCTGGGTGGCTCAGTGGTTGAGCACCTGCCTTCGGCTCAGGTCGTGATGCCAGGGTACTGGGATCGAGTCCCCAATCAGGCTCCCCGCATAGAGCCTGCTTCTCCCTCTGCCAATGTCTCTGCCTCTCTCTGTGTCTCTCATGAATAGATATATAAAATCTTAGAAAGAAAGAAAGAAAGAAAGAAAGAAAGAAAGAAAGAAAGAAAGAAAGAAAGAAAGAAAATCCAAGGTAGCCAAGCAGAATAGCCTGGGGACTCAGCCTGTGGCCTCCCAGCCAGCCAGCTCTGACCAAAGCTAACAGAAGCAAGGAAGAAGCAAGTTGAGGGGGTGTTGACAACCTGGCCAGGCCAAGGAGAAAGGTAAGAAGGAAGACTAGAGGGACAGGCAGGACCAGCCTTTAAGATGATGTGTGGTATTGCTGAGGGGTGTGTGCTTCATCCTGAAAGTGATGGGGAGCCAGCAAAGCTTTTTATTTTTCAGTCAGGTGAGTTAAAGGACACGAGTTGCCTTTCAGAAGGAGTTCTGTGGCAGCAATGGCTGATGTCAGGGCAGAGGTGGGGCCGGCTCTGGGATATTAGGGGTTAGAAGCAACAGAGTTGGATGACCCCCCGGGATGTGGGAAAGTGAGGATTCCCCGTCACACTCGCTCCTCAGAGGCCCCTCTACACAGAGGACTCCTCAGAGACCTAATGTGACAAGTAGTGAGAGTTCCAGTCAAATCTCAGATCCATCTCTTAGCAGCTGTGTGACCCCAGGCAAGTGCCTTAACCCCTCTGGGCCTCTATTTTCTGGAACATAGCATGAGAATCACAAGGCATCGCTCACAGGACGTTATGAGGGAGAGATACACAAAGATCACGAGGCAGCACAAAAGGCAGGTTAGGAGTATGGTCTCTGGAGACCAAAGGATTTAAAGCCCAGCTCCACTACTGGCCAACTGTGAGACTCTGGGAGACTTGCTAATCTCACTAGGCTTCAGTTGTCTCAGTACTTAGATGGAGATTACAGTCATGCCTACCTCAGGGCTTTTGTGATGATGAAATGATCATACATGGGACAGTTTGGTGCAAAGTGAGAGAGAGCTCACTGGATTTGCATTATATCACTGGGTAAGGGAGTTGATATCATAGTGACTGCAAGGCTCAACCAGCTGTCCTCCATCTCTGCCTATTATCTGAAAGAGGGGTCCCCCAGGCTTCTCACCTCCAAATCTCCTACCGCTTTCCTGCTTCTTCCCCACTTCCCATTACATTCACCCACCCACCCACCCCCACATACACACACAAAAAAAGTTGTGACAGGTGAGGAATTCCAGAAAGAAAAAGTCTGGGGTGGCTTTGGGGGCCAGCTAATGTAATGGGCAGCCATGATCCCCTAGAGGCACTGGAAAATATGGGGATGAATGTTTGAAATTTGGGAGATCAAATCCACCTGGCAATCCCCTCCTCCCAGATGAGAAGGCAGCTTCCCTTGCTGAGAGCTAAATTGGAGTTCTAGGGAATTTTTTTTTGTTATGATTATTACTCGAAACTCAAGAACCCAGAAAATACCCAACATATAAGTCATCTACTTCTCAACCCCCAAGATTCCCAACTACAGTGGCCTTACCCAAGCTGCTGCCCAAGACCTGTCACTTTATGACTTTGCAACAGACAGGAATGATCTGACTCATGGCTGCTGACCAGGCTCCTGCCACACACCAGAGTTCCCCTAAACTCCCATTTGGTTACCTTTCTTGAAAATGTCCTATTTTGGACTACGAATCCTAATTCATCCTCCACTTCCAACACACCTGGAATAAGAAGTCATCTACACACACACACACACACACACACAGCACAGGTTGCACCTCCTTTCCCCTCCCCTCCATCAGTGGCAAAGAAATGGGACAGGGCCCAAGAGAAGGGGTTGATAGAGTGAAACAGAAACAGTTCTTACTCCTTGTATCTTACCCGTTGTGACTTATCAAAACTTTGAGGTTTCTCAGTTCTCACTGACAGTCAAAGTAGGCTTTCTCTAGAGTAACGAAAGATTTGTACATGTTTAAAGAGCACTTCACACCAAGGATGAATCAGTGGAGGATGAGTAGTGTGTTGAACTCTAGCATGGTTAAGGTAGAGATGTGGGACTAAGCAGGGTCTCCCGGGGGTAATTCAGCAAGGAAGGAGGACGGGAGAAGGAAGCTAGAATGTTGCACAACCATTTATTCTAGGACTGCAGATACTTGGGGCCAATAGGACAGTGGGTACCTGTCCTCAGAAAGAGAAGACACAACTAAGAAGGCAGGTGCAAGAGGCAGTGAGGAGCTTGACTGTCATACTGAGCTTTGGGGGCTTCCTCCTTAGGGCTGGAGAGAGAAGTCCTCAGGATTTAGGAGGAGGACTGGCGAGGGCTGGCATCAGAGCTCTGCCTTAGAAAGACGTATCTAGCAGTAGCGTGCAGTATAACTTGATTGCAGTGGAAGAAATGCTTATCTATTTATGTGGCTTGAAGCCCTTCCTCCTTTGCCCAGGAACCCCTAAGCCCAGAATTCCCCACCTTAGGCGCTCCATCTGGAGCATACTGTGAATTGGGTGTCATGCAGAGGGACTTCCAGCAGGTGGTGCTGTGGCCAAGGACAGAATCACTGGCCACGCTGCTGTTTCCACTGGGGAAGCAGAACACCCTGCTTGCTGAAAGAGGGCCCCCAGCTTCCAGAAGGTGCTTGAAACAGAGTTCCAAACATTACTCTGTCTCTGTTAAGACTGAAGGTGCGACCAGCCTGCAAGCTCTGCCTTGGCATTCATTTGTGGCATCCCCCGGTTACTGACATGTGGGCCAGGCCCTGGCTGGGAGCTTGAGGGTTAGGTTATACAAAGGTAAGAAAGCACAACTCCTGCCCTCTGGGTACTCCCAGATAGTTAGGTGAGAGAAGACTCCTACATAAATTATCTTGTGCACAGTCTTCCCTGCTCAGTCCTCAGAGGAGATAAATTCCCACTCCAGCCCTCAGCTCAGCCTCAAAGGAGAACTGTGAGCAGCCAGGTGCCCGTCCTCTGTCCACAGCACACCAGGCCTCTGCTAACCCAGAGTCTCAACCTGTTGCCTGCTGCTCAGACTCAAGAGAGCCTCCTGACTTCCAGAATGTAGGCCGGGCCGGGTCCCTTTCCGGAGCTGAGTATCTTCCCACATCTCACAAGGCCCTAGATTAGAAACAAGTTGAAGAAAAGGGGATCCCTGAGTGGCTCAGCAGTTTAGCGCCTGCCTTCCATGCAGGGCAGAATCCTGGAGTCCCGGAGTCTGCTTCTCCCTCTGCCTGTGTCTCTGCCTCTCCATCTCTCTCTCTGTCTCTCTCTCTCTGTCTCTCTCTCTCTCTGTCTCTCATGAATAAATAAATAAAATCTTTAAAAAAAACAAGTTAAAGAACAAACATACGTACACACTTCAGTGAAGCAAAAAGGGTAGTTACCTCAGAGAACAGTCTCTATTGTATCACACTGTCATAGGACAGCATCCCCTCAGGCCACCCTGGTGCTCTCTCTCCTGGAAGAAGGGGAAGCAGGCATTCATTCACTCATTCATTCATTCATTCATTCATCAAGACATAATTCCTGGGTGCCTTTTTTATTCTGGACCTGCATTGGATAAAAGGGAAGAGGTCCCTGTTCCACAGGCAGGCTGAGGATTAGACCAAGTAAACCCCCAGGTGGCCTTAATGAATGTCAGTTGAATGAGGGGTTATGGGGAGCAGATGGGTCCCTGAAGCACTTTCCCATCCTTGAGATGCCAGGAAATAACCACACTCCTCCACCTAGTCCTGTGATATCAGCCTATTTCCTTAGCTGGCCTCCCCAGAAGACATTCAGGGCAGCAGATGGGGCTGGATGCAGGAAAAATGTTCCTCGATGGCTCCTGGCACAAGAGCAGTGCAGGACACACACATGCACACACTCACGCACCCACGCACGCAGGCACACCCTTATCACCACCACCTCAGGGCCTTGCTTCCCACATAACCCAAAGTGGGAGGGGCCCCTCAGACTCAGGAGTCAGGGTCATTTGAAAACTCAGCCTTGAGGAGTGGTGTGGACCAGGGTGGACTTTCTAACTCCAGAAGATGCCCTGAAGAGCCACGAAGGGGGTGGGGAGCAGGGGCTGCCCTGCATTCCAATCCCACTCCTTTGTGGGACCTCAGAGTGGAGGAAGAGGAGGTGAAGGCGGCAAGACTGGGCAGCCAGCCAGGCACTTCAAGGCACAATCTGGTTCTGATGCCCCAGGCAAGCGTGGTGCCTGGGGCTTGTGATGAAAGTTCTCAACAGTGTTCCCACCCCTCCCTAAGGCTTTCTTTCATAACAAAGAGCTGTCCCCTCCAAGCATCAACTTTCTCCCCTTGTCTCCTGCAGGGAAACCAATGAAAAGCCTGCTGGTGGTGGCTCTCCTTGTCATTTTCCAGGTGAGATCTGTGGCCAAGAAAATCTCTGTTCCCTTCTCCACACACTCCCCCTCCCGCCCTCCCCAAGCCCACCCCTCCCCAGCTCCAGGGTCCTGAGGAGGAGGTGGGCACTTGCTGGAAGAAGATAGATCCAGACACAAACACTCCACTCCTTAAGCTGATGGCTGCCCATCTCCATCTGCTGAGTGACCCTACAAAGCCATACATGGTCTCTGAATGTCCTCACCTCCATTTAAATGAAAACACAGAGGAAAGTAAGATACCATCATCATCCCACCCTACTTCCACTATCCCCATCCAGGATACAGAAATGCGAGCCCCGTCTGAGTTTATGGAGAGAAACTGCACAAAGCAAAGGCTGTGAGGTCACTGGAGTCTGTGCAGACATGTGCACAGCCATGCGTGCAAAACTTCATACATGAGCTGAGGGAAGAAACTTTCATCTGGTGGATGGGTTACTATCCTATCATCCCAAAGCCGTCTCCCTCCTCCAGTGTCCAGCCAAAGCCTCCCCTGGAAGCTCCAGTCCTTTCTGTGAAATAAAGAGGCCCATTTGAGCCCCACTTAGTGGGGAAGGAAGGAAGGATGGAGCCCAGGACCTGGGGGTGGGGGTAGTGCACATACTTTATAAGGGCCCAAACTCTGCAGGAGCAAAGTCCCCCAGTTTACAATGTTCTGCTTCTCAATCCCAGGAATGGAGACAGGAAATCTGGCCCCACCAAGTGCCAGAGTTAGAAGAAACTGTAACTCATAGTCTCCTCTCTGCCATTTGTTGGGGGTGGGAGCTCTCTTGGAGGGGGAGGGGGAGGCCAAGGCCAGAGCTGGAGGTAGTCCTTCAGAATTTGGCTCTTCCCCAAGTCTGGAGGCCAGAGGGGCAGCTTTCCAGGAGCTCTGGCCAGAGGCAGGCCCCAAGCTGGGCACTGTTCCCAAAACCCCATCCCAGAGGCCCCCTGGAGCTTGGGCTACAGCCTACAGCCTGGCCCCCTTCCCCATCACCACTCCCTCCCCTCTTTCTTCCCATTTCCAGGACCTGGGAGGGGCTGTATTGCTAGAAGTGGAGGCTGGAAGGTTGGGGAGGTGATGAGGGACAGCTGGGGCTCATTCTTCTCTTTACTTGGGGGGATGGGGTAGCTCAGATGGGGCAGGATGTGGTGCAGCTGTGGGCTGCAGAGGCATCAAGGAGTCCGGAAGTAGTAAAGGGTGGAAAAAGAAGGCAGGACAGGGTGGTACGGAGCACACTTCACAGAGGCTGGGTGTACCCCTTTATGTCCAGGGACCCCGGACTTAAAACTGTGAGACTGACCATGGGTGCCAAGAACAGCCAGGGTCTTCAGGACTCCCAGGCTGTGGTCATTCCCAGATGAGGGAAAGAGGGTTACCGCTGATTTTTCTCAAGATAGCAGTGCCCAAAGAAAAGGCTTCTGGATATCATTTTGTCCTCATTCTGTGACTGATAAATTCAGCATTTGGAAGTGGTAAAGACAGAGACAGGATGTGAGGAAAAGACTGGGTTCCACTCTGGCTGTGTGACCTTGAGTGAGGTTCTCCAAAAACCTCCTGTCCTCATCTCTGATGTCCCTCCAGCTCCCCAGTCTTGCATGCAAACCCATCAGGTTGAGCTGCCCAGAGCCCAATTCCCAGAGGAGGGCCCGTGAGCCGTCTTGCAGCCCAGCTGCCAGCCTGCACAGGCTCAGCCTCCACGGTGCACAGAGGCACAGGGGCCTGTGCCCTCCTTCATTGATAAAATCACAGCAGGCTGCCTGAACCTTCACCTTGCCCTGCAGATGGGCTAAAAAAAGCCCTGAGCAGCTGAGCCAGGCTGATTGGGATCTGCCGGAAGAGACTGCGAGGAAGAGAGAGACAGAGAGGTAGGGGAAGAGGGTGGGAGCAGCGCAGCGGGAGAGTGGGAGACAGCCACACGCTCTTCCTGGGGTGCAGGGAGGACTCCATCACTGCCGAGGAGGCAGTGGCCCAGCGGTGCCTTATCCCCTCCTGTCACAGTTGTGCAGTTCTGTGAGCTTGGGCCCACGTTGCCTGAGCCCCTGCTGTGTGCCGGGCATGGTGCCTCGGCGCCTCGGTGCCTCGGGCCCCAGGGATCTGCAGAATTCTGCAAGTCACTCACCACCCAATGTCACAGCAGCTCACCCCAAACCAGGGTTTCCAGGCTTCTAAACAGAGCATGTGCCTTCCTCTCTACTGGCTCCAGGCCCTCCTCAACCTTAACCCCGATGTGGATTTTCCCTCAAAAGCCAAAGTATTTTGTAGGCTCCCTGGAAAACTCTTTCTAGCTGATTCTAAAGGAGGCTCAAGATGAATGACACACATTCCGACTCTCCTGGAGTTTCCAGGTGCCAGAACCGAGGTTCCACACCTCACCACAGCCATGGGAGGGAGACAGTAGTCATCTCCATTTCACAGATGAGGCCACTTGAGGCTCAGAGATGAAGTCTGTTTATCTGACCCGAGGCTCATGTGACCCCAAAGCACAGACGCTTTCCAGTCCACCATCAGGGCATGTCATGTCAAGCCTCTCTGAGTTGGCAAGAACAGACCTTGGCTACTTACGAGAAGTGCAGAATCTCAGGTCCCAGCCTATTAAATCAGGACATGCACTTTGACAAGATCTCCAGGTAATTCATGTGAAAATTTGGGAAGCACTGGTTTCAAACCAAAGAACCACCTGGAGAGTTTAGAAAAATAGATTCCAGGGCCCCACCCGTACCCCCAAGATTCTGATTCTGCAGGTCTCAGGTGGGGTCTGAGAATTTGCAGGTGATGCTATGATGCCCGTGATAGGTACCACATTTGAAACCAGTGCTCTGGACAATCCCAGGGCAGCAAGATGAGCTGAGCTGAGCTGAGCTGAGCTGGATCCCACTTAGCTAAGCTGGATTGTGTCGCCCTGTCCCCTCCCCCGCAGGTGTGCTTGTGCCAAGATGAGGTCACGGATGACTACATCGGAGAAAATACCACGGTGGACTATACACTGTATGAGTCTGTATGCTTCAAGAAAGACGTGCGGAACTTCAAAGCCTGGTTCCTGCCAATCATGTACTCCATCATTTGCTTCATGGGCCTGCTGGGCAATGGGCTGGTCGTGCTGACCTACATCTATTTCAAGAGGCTCAAGACCATGACAGATACGTACCTGCTCAACCTGGCCATGGCGGACATCCTCTTCCTCCTGACCCTTCCCTTCTGGGCATACAGCGCGGCCAAGTCCTGGACATTCGGCGTCCACGTTTGCAAGATCATCTTTGGCATCTACAAGATAAGCTTCTTCAGCGGCATGCTGCTGCTTCTTTGCATCAGCATCGACCGCTACGTGGCCATCGTCCAGGCCGTCTCGGCCCACCGCCACCGTGCCCGCGTCCTTTTCATCAGCAAGCTCTCCTGTGTGGGCATCTGGATGCTGGCCATGGTGCTCTCCACCCCGGAGCTGCTGTACAGCGGCCTCCAGAAGAGCAGCAGTGAGCAAGCACTGCGGTGCTCCCTCAACACCAATCAGGTGGAAGCCTTGATCACCATCCAGGTGGCGCAGATGGTGGTGGGCTTCCTGATCCCCCTGGGGGCCATGAGCTTCTGCTACCTCGTCATCATCCGCACCCTGCTCCAGGCACGCAACTTTGAGCGCAACAAGGCCATCAAGGTCATCATTGCCGTGGTCGTGGTCTTCATAGCCTTCCAGCTGCCCTACAACGGGGTGATCCTGGCCCAGACAGTGGCCAACTTCAACATCACTGGCAGTGGTAGCTGCGAGCTCAGCAAGCAGCTCAACATCGCTTATGACATCACCTACAGCCTGGCGTGCGTCCGCTGCTGCGTCAACCCTTTCTTATATGCCTTCATTGGTGTCAAGTTCAGAAGCGACCTCTTCAAGCTCTTCAAGGACCTCGGCTGCCTGAGCCAGGAGCAGCTCCGGCAGTGGTCTTCCTGCCGCCACACCCGGCGCTCCTCCATGAGCGTGGAGGCCGAGACCACCACCACCTTCTCCCCATAGGAGGCTCCTCCGCCGGGACTAGTGGGACCTCTCCCAGGGCCCCTGGGCCGGATCCAGGCAGCCCATGACTCGGGCACCAAGAGCTGCAGAGGGAAGAAAGGCCGTCCCGGCTGTGAAGTTTTTAATCTCGTGGGGAAAGCTGGTGCCGCGGCCCAGGCTTCACCCCGGTCCCTAGCTACCTCCACCCGGGTTGCAAAGCATTGTGACCGATGAGCTATACCAAATCCTGCAACACTCTGAAACCACGTGTCTGTTGTCCCCCAGACCAAAAACCAAAAGTGGAAGTCAGGAGACAGTCCACGCTTAGAGTGAAGGGGAGAGAGCTGGTAACGGGTAGACTGATGGAGGGAGTCTGGCGAGTCCTCTGAATGAAGCTCCTTCTAACCTAGGAAGACATCCTCCCTGAGATTCAAGGGCTGGAGCAAGGTCTTCCAGAAAACAGGGCTTTGTTTCGGAGACCAGAGATGCTGGGGAGACTTCCCAACTTGGCTTGGCAGGGAAGAGGGATGCCAATGGGTCAAACTCTCTGAATTCCTCCCTCCATCTCTTTTTCCACTGTCATCTGAGCCAGCAAGAAATGGTAGCCTCCAGGCCTCCCTGAAAGTACACCAGCCCCTCGCCTGCCACCTCTCATCAGGCTGCTGCCCTCCGAGGCCCTCCTCAGGGAGGGGTGGTGTTTCCTGCGGGCCCGGCCAGCCGCCTCTGCCTGGCCAAAGCCACACTCCCAGCCAGGACTCTGGGGCGAGGATGACGTGTGGCCAGCCCTTCTCAGCTCTCAACTCTGCTCGGATGGAGGAGAGGGCAGGGAGGAAGGTTAGGGGCCAGGGGGTGGTGACAGCCCTGGCTGCCTAAGACCAATGAGCTGCTTTTTGTTCTTAGTCGTGAAGATAAAAAAAAAAAAAAAAACTCTCATCCTGTCCTGCTTTCAGTTCATTAAGACAGCACAGCTTACTCACACACAAATACAAGTTTTCCCTTGAGGGAGCAACAGCTTTAAAAGAAAGGGGGAAATTTTTTGGTAAACGGCCAATGGGTGCGTTCCTGTTTTGCAAACCCCGACTTCCCACCTGACCGCCCCCACTTCTCTCCTTTCCCTGCTCTTCATTTCTCAGAGGTGATCAGAGCTGTGAGGTCTTCCAAGATGTGTTCTCCAAGCCTGTCCAACAACATAGGCCCAAGAGGCTCGAAAGAGGCAGGGGGAGGGGGAGCCCAGGGTGCCCATCTTGCAAATACCCTTCCAGAATTTGTGGGAGAGGCCCCAAGCCTGTGCCAGCAGCAGTGACCCAGAGACACGGGTCTGAGCTGAGCTTTGGAAAGAACCGAGTTTTCCCCATAACCTCGATGGCTAGGAGCTCTCCCTGACCTTTAGCAACATACACTCACTGGTCTACTCATCGGTCTGAAACCAGAGCCCCTGATGCTTTGTCATTTCCTTCAAGTTCCCTGGTTGTTTAGAGGGAAGGCCTCCCCCTGGGCACGCAGACCACAGCGTGCTGGATTAAGGAGGCTTGAGATGGCACCCATGTGATAGGTTGCACCTTTTGCTGGAAGCTTGAAAGCCAGGGTCATCCACGACCCACCCTCCTGATCCCTATTGCAGCAGCAACCCATGTACCCATCGTGGAGGAGTGGGGATCAAGGGACAACCACTACCCCCTGCCTATATCCATGTCCCATCGGGGTGCTCTGATGCCCCCAAGCTAGAGAGGAGGTTAGCCCAGGCTGTGATGCATGAGGAGCTGTCTGAAGGGTCCAGCACAGCAAGAGCTGGGGGCCTGGCAGGGGGAGACGGGTGGGGACACTCTGCAAAGGTGATTCCATCAATTTTCCAAAGTGAAGAGAGCTTGCCTGGTGATGAAGCCCATTCTCTAATTTCACAATAAGCACATGACACTGCCCTCCTCCACAGGATGCACTGGGCATTATTTGTCAGCCAAGACACCCCGGGGGAAGCAAAGCCAGCACAGGCGCAGCCAGCGTGGAGCAGTGCCTGTTGCAACAGCATCGAATGTTAAAAGGTGCAGTGGCGATTGTGTGTGCACAGATGTGGGGTGAGAGGGGTCCCCGAGAGGAGCACAGAAGCACTGGGCCCACTGGTGTACACATCCTAATGCGGTACAGGCAGGAAACCGATCCTCAGCTCCTGAATGGAGGAATTCAAAGGAATGCTCATGAACAGGAAGCCAGGCCAACCGCACAAACACGCCATCTCAGCTTCAAATACATTTTTCTAAAGTAATTGGACATCTCTGAGTATTTACAAAGACAGCAAAACCCCAGCAATGTTAATTCCCCAAACTGCTCTATCTCGGCTCCTTGCTGGCCTGGCCACTGCTCCCTTGCCCAGTGCTCTCATGTGTCTCCCCTGAACTTAGGGGGGACCCCTAGGAGGAAGGAACAGACTCACTGGGGAGCCCCCTCACCCAGGGCTTCTCTCTCTCTCTCTCTCTCTCTCTCTCTCTCTCTCTCTCTCTCGTCTCATCTGTTTCATACAACTGCCCCATCTTCCTGGGCTCATGGCCCCAAAGCCCCTCCTCCCCTCTTGCAGCTCCCCCTGTTTCCCATCCCCAGCCTCCCTGGATGCAGCCCCAGGGCAAGTCTGTCCTTCCAGCCAGAAGCACTGAACCTCAAGAATCGTGGATTCACAGAGCTGCGAGGGACCTCAAAGATTAGCTGGTCCAACCCAATCATTCTCTAGATGGGGAAACTGAGGCCCTGAAGAAGGAACTGACCTGCTTGAAGAGATATTGCAATATAAGGATACTGGATAAACTTGCCTTGGGGAGGCCTAAAGATCTGGCAGGATGGATGAGAGGTGGATGAGGGAGAGCAGACGCTCGGAAGCCTGGCTGACTGTGAACCTCATCTCTTTTGCTTCCCAGCTGTGTGACCTTCAGCTGTTGCTCAACTGCTCTGAGTCTCAGATTTCTCAACTGCAAAATGGAGAGGATTTGGCAAACGTCTAGCCCGGTGCCTGGAATATTGAATGTGGTGATGAGGAGCACGGGCTCTGCGGCCAGACTGCCTGGTTTGAATTTCAGCTGCGCTACTTGGGCTCCTTACTTAGTCTCTCTGTGTTTCAGTTTCCTAATCTGTGTGATGGGGAAAATCATAGCACCTACCTCCTAGGACTGTTGTGAGGAGCAAATAAATACATATATGAAAAATGCTTAGAAATCCTTATGGAAGTGTTGTGTTGTGGATAATCATTAAGAAATGTTTAATACATGATAGCTAAAAAAAAAAAGTTGCTAACCACAAGGAAACCAAATTCAATTACCTAGCCCCATTTCCATCCCCCTACAACTTATAAATCAAGTTGGAGGACAGCTGGAAGATTAGTCAGGTCACATTCCACCAGTTGTACAGGTAAGTCAACTGAGGCTCAGAGAGGTAAATTACTCACCTGAGGTCTCTTAGGAGTTCTTGGCCATGATAGAACTTGAACCCAGGTTCCCGAGCTCCATTCAGAGCTCTTCCTACGGACCTCCTGCACTCTTCTGTATTTCCCTACACGCCCACCCTGGCATACGCTACCCCCATCCCAGACCACCTAGCTCTGCTATGGCAAGCACCATCCCTCCTGTCCTGTGACCAGGTCCTTAAGGAGCATCTCCCCTTGCCCCCATAAATAGTCCCTGTTCTTGCTATTGAGTCCAGGAAAATGAGATACAAAGAAAAGAAATATGGTGGGGTGTCCGGGTGGCTCAGTTGGTTAAGCATCATCTGCCTTTGGCTCAGGTTGAGCCCCGGGTCCTGGGATCAAGCCCCTCATTAGACTCTCTGCTCAGGGGAGAGTCTGCTCCCTTTCCCTCTGCTGTTCCCCTAACTCATGCTTTCTCTCTCTCTCTCTCTCAAATAAAATATTTTTAAAAAAATAAAAGAAATATGGCAGTAGGCCCAAAGGAATTCAGGCAGCTGATCTTTTTAAGAAAGAATTCTCTGAGAGTTAGTTTTATTTCTGTTATTGAAGGTAAATAGTTGGAGGGGGAAGAAACAGTCCTACAGGAGCAGGGGTGGGAGTTGAGGCAAATGAGATGGGGAGCCAAGGGGGGCAATTCTGAGTAGGGAGTAGAAGTAGGGGTAGGTGGGGCAGGGATGCGTTCTAGGGACTACCCGGCTAGGGGCCGGACCTGGAGAGTATTGTCAGTGGGTAGAAAGGACTCCCCACATACACAACTTTCCCGAGTCTCCCAATCACAGGTGGGGAAAGGGGGCTATATTAGTCTTAGAGACAGGTGGACTTGTGGCCTTCTTTGCCAGGAGGGGGTTAGAAAAGTCCCAGTTTCCCTGGTCTAAACCCCTAGAAAAACTGCAGGGAGTAAAAGAGGGGGTGCTTCTCCCTGAAATCAAAACAGCAACCCTGACAGCCCTCCCAGCCTCCACCCTATAAGAGCAGATGTTTGAGAGGCACTGCAGGGAGTAGAAGCCTCATTACACAAACACACGTGCATATACACACACACACGTGCGTGCATACACACCACCCCCCAGCTCCGTCATTTGTCTTGTTGGGGGCCTAGAAAGAGACACACAGACAAGGGGTCTGCTGCAGAAAATGCTACACAGCCCCTTGCTCTGCCAAAGCAGCTCAAGACTAACGAATCTCAGCTGTTCTCCGAAATCAGAAATGAGCGCCGGTGAATGCTCCCACAGACTCGTGTGTGTGTGTGTGTGTGTGTGTGTGTGTGTGTGTGTGTGTCCCCCAATTCAGACTGCTCTTCCTCCTGCATTCACTGTGAGGATGGATATAATCTTATTTTTGTCTCTTGTTCCCCTAACCCCAGGGAATTCACTTGCTGAGTTGTCTCGTGTGTTGTAGGAACCACCGCACTGTGTGGCCTCTGGGTTCTCATCTCTGTGTAAATAAACACGGGCTTGCACGAGCAGAGCAGGATCTCCACTCCCTCCTGCCGCAGTAGGTCCCGAGGTCGGCCGACTGTCCGCTTAGCAAGAGGGCAGGTGAGGACACACGTCTGGCCCCCAAGCCCTCTTGTGCC